GTATTTGATTAAAATATTCAAGTAAATACTTGATGGTATAAATACGCATGGTTACTTTGCCGAGGAAATTTTTTTGTTCATTACTATCTCGCTTATGCTTATGAGGTCTCATCTTTCCCTCTGTCTATCCCTTTCTTCCCCTTCTTTTTCCGTATACATATTTTCCTTGCTCTTTCTTAAAGCTTGATGGGGAAAAAGAGAAAGAGAAAAAGAAGAAAATCCACAGAAAAAATTAAAAAGAAGATAATCATAAAAAATAAAAAATAAAAAGAAGAAAATCAGTTAGGTAAGATAAATGAAGGGATATTCAAAGCCTAAACAAACCCTATCATATCAAAATACGTAGTTATCCAATCCAATCACCGCCTATATTATATCTCCTATATAATCCCTACAACACCAATAAAAAAAAGAGAAAAAACATACGCAAAATAAGAGGAAGAAAAAGCAAAAAAGTAAAAAAATACCTCAAGAGGAAAAAAAGGGGCGCAACCTCCACCAAAAGAAATCCTATTTCCTTATTGTTGTGCGCGGCAGAAGCTTTTCTTGTGCAACACGAACAATAACTCGAGATAAACCACAACTAATATGCAAAACACAACGGCAAGAACAAACAATTTACGTGGTTCGGCAAGTTGCTTACGTCCACGGGGCAAAGGGGGTTCTTACTATTAGAAATCAGAGAATACAAGTAGGGTTACAAATCTCACCGATGAAACCCTAAAACAAAGCTCTAGATCTTTCACAACTCTCCCACAATTGGATGCAACAATCCTCTCTCAAAGACTACTCAAAATCGTCCTTGCTTAATCCTAACAAAAAGGTTTAGGGTTATATATAACATAGAAACAAATCGGGTCAAAAACCGAAGTCCAGCCCAGAAATCATCGACGGTCGACCGCGCAGGTCTCGCGGTCGACCGCGGCAGTCGACCGAACCACAAACCCGAGAGCATAAATCCATTACAGTCATCCACAGCGGTCGACCGCGGCGGTCGACCGCCTTCATCTCCGAAACCCAGTAGGCCTGCGTGCACGTTGGCGGTCGACCGCCAGTCTGTCTGGCTGGTTCCTTCCTGTTTCCTGTAATTCTTCAATTCTCCACTTCGGCGAATGTTTCCACCAAAACTGAGCCGACACCAAATCATCCAATAGTCCCTCAACAAGTCAGGGAACCAATCTAGAGCTGAAACGCGATCTCTGCCCCCCATCTGAATCAACTGATCAAACTGGATGCATCTTAAAAACTGCCTACGTATCCTCTTGCCCAAGGAATCAAGCCGAACGTAGTTCACCCAAATGGCCTCCAAAGGCCTCAACACCTCCCCCATCTGAATCAACTGATCAAACTGGCTGCATCTGAAAGACTACCTACGTATCCTCTTGCCCAAGGAATCAAGTCGAACGTAGTTCACCCAAATGGCCTCCAAAGGCCTCACTGAAGGATGTTCAAAAGCTTCAAACAATGACCAAATTTCACTCCTGAAATAACTTTGGTCAACATATCTGCAAGGTTGTCATTTGTGTGGACCTTCTCTAATATGACGTCTCCATCATCCAACACGTCATGTACAAAGTGGAATCTGACGTCGATGTGCTTCGTGCGCGCATGATAAACCTGGTTCTTCGCCAAATAGATAGCCGACATGCTATCACAATATACCCGAATAGTCTCCTGAGCGATCCCCAAGTCCTCCAATAATCCACGCAACCATAAAGCCTCCTTAATAGCTTCAGTTACTGCCATATACTCTGACTCTGTAGTAGAGAGAGCCACTGTGGACTGAAGCGTGCATCGCCAACATACAGGTGCACCTGCCAATGTAAAAACATAACCTGAAGTAGACCGGCGTTTGTCAAGATCTCCAGCATAATCTGAATCCATATATCCAATACAATCATGCCCATTCTTTTCATCCTTTTGGAATACTAAACCAACATCCACGGTGCCTCGAACATACCATAGAATCCACTTCACGGCCTCCCAATGACCCTTCCCGGGGTCGTGCATATATCTCGATACCATGCTCACGGCCTGTGACAAATCTGGCCTCGTACACACCATCGCATACATCAAGCTACCTACTGCACTGGCATATAGGACCTTTCTGTGTAAGTTTCAAACTCCCTTTCACACTGTCTCTCACGATCTCCATACCCAATATCTTCTTTGCCTCTCCAAGATCCTTCATCTCAAACTCGGATGATAACTCCTCTTTCAGCTTTCGAATAGCCGAAGAATTCCTGGAAGCAATAAGCATATCGTCAACATATAAAAGCAAATATATGTGCTCACAATAATGTAGCTTGTGCATATAAACACACGGGTCATATGGGCTCCTCGTGTACCCTCGGCCAATCATAAAGCCGTCGAATCTCTTATACCATTGTCTTAGTGACTGCTTCAAACCATAAAGAGACTTCTTCAGCTTACAAACCAAATCTTCTTTTCCTGCAGCTTTGAAACCCTGGGGTTGTGTCATGTAGATCTCCTCATCTAAATCACCGTGTAGAAAGGATGTCTTCACATCCATCTGGATCAAATCCAAATCCAACTGTACCACCAACGCCAATAAAATCCGTATAGACGAATGCTTCACAACGGGTGAAAATACCTTGTTGTAATCAATGCCCTCAAGCTGTGCATATCCAAGTGTCCAAGTGTCGTTCTTCTGAAGAGACCGCATCTCCTCCTCCATAGCTTCCCTCCACCTGATCGAATCGGGGCTAGACTCTGCCTCCCTGAATGTGGCTGGAACCATATCATCAACGACCTCCACTGATAATGCATATGCGACCATGACATCATTATACCTAGCTGGCCGACGAATCTCTCTCCTCGGTCTATCTGCTGCAATGGACCCCTGAACATGACCCTGTTCATGAGTCCCATAATCCACTGTATCCTCTATCTGCCCAGCTATCATCTCATCTCCTCCCAGTGTTACCTCTGTAGGAGCCTTAATGGATACAGTGCTCTCTGGAGTGAGTGGAGTCACATCATCCTCCACCTGCTGTGATATCTCTCCTGTCTGGTCTCCCTCTACCTGCTGAGGGGCTCGAGGCCTCATCATGTACGCCTTGTCAAATGTGACATTTCTGCTAATAACTATCTTCTTGTCCTGTGGATCCCATAACTTGAAGCCTTTGACTCCATCTCTAAATCCCACAAAGATTGCTTTCCTCGCTCTCGGATTTAATTTACCATCACTGACATGATAATAAGCTGGACACCCCGAAGCGACTCATAGTCACTAGCCACCGAACCAAACCAACGCTCCAAAGGAGTATTCCCGTCTATCGTAGTGCACGGCAACCTGTTCACGAGATGTCTCGCATAAACTAACGCCTCTGCCCAAAAGGATCTAGGCAATCCACTCTGCATCATCATACACCGCACCTTCTCCAGCAAGGTACGGTTCAATCTCTCAGCCACTCCATTCTGTTGCGGTGTCTCTCGAACTATGAAGTATCTTCTAATGTCGTGATCCCGACAAAACTGTAGAAACGGATCACTCTTATACTCTCCACCATTATCTGAATGTAGAGTCTTCACCTTTCTACCTGTATGCAGCTCTACTTTCTTTTTTCACTCCACAAAAATATCCAGGACCTGATGTTTATGCTTCATCGGGTATACCCAATTCCTCCTGGAATAATCATCAATGAAAGTGACAAAATAGTTAGCCCCACCAAGAGATGTGTTCTTAGAAGGACCCCAAACATCTGTGTGAATGTAATCCAATGTACCTCGGGTGTTATAAATAGCGGTGCCAAACTTCACTCTAGTCTTCTTCCCAAGTACACAGTGCGTACACAGCTCCATCTTGCAGGTCTTAGTACCTTTTAATAGCCCCTGTTTTGCCAATGACTGTAGGGACTTATCACCTGTGTGTCCAAGTCTCATGTGATAGAAGCTGCCAGACCCCCTGTAACTGTCTTGCCCTTCAAGTAGTATAGGTAGTTTTCCCTGACACCTCGCATCACCACCATAGAACCCTTCGTGACCTTTACTGTAGCATCCTCTAAGATCACTCAATATCCAGTTACCTCTAAAGTACCAAGAGAAATGATGTTCTTCGTCAACTTCGGTACGAACCTCACTTCCTTCAACTCCCTCACTACACCATCATGCATCCTAATCCGGACTGAACCAATACCACCAATAAGACATACGTGGTCATTACTCATAAGCACGACATCCCCTCTTTCCAGCTCCTCAAAGCTAGAAAACCACTCCCTTTTAGGGCAGATGTGATATGTAGCTCCCGAATCCATCATCCACTCCGTGGAATCTGTATAACAAACTGACGATAATGCAGGGCATGAATAGCCTGAAGAATCTGAATCTGAATGCTCACCAATAGCTTTTGCAACATTCACTTCTGAAGCTTGTGCAGCTTTCCCCTTATTCTTCCCGGCTTTTTCTTTCCACTTTGGACAGTCAATCTTCCAATGTCC